GCCCGATTCATCACCGTAGCAATATGACAGTGATGAAGTAGCAACGAAAATAACGTTATGCTTTGGGGGTCCCCACCACATGAGGAACTGTATGAAAGGGTCGCGGCATGAGGAAGGTGGAGAAGTACTGCTCTAGTGGGATGTTCTCTGACTCATCTCTGCCCAGCTTAGTGATCATGTGATTACACTGTGTTTTGTTTTCTTAATTCAACTTTTTGTCTCTGTTAAATTTTTGTGTGTTTGTTTTTCATTCTCCTTTCAAAGGAGCCCTGGCGGGGCAGGGTGGGGGTTCCACAGTTGGAAGCCACCGGCAGCCCCTAGAGAGAGGCTGGGCTTTCTACTCTGTGCACGGTCACTGTCCCAGCCGCCCCAGGGGTGCCATGAGCCAGTGTGGAGCTGAGTTTGTGCTTGGACTGTTTCCACAAGCATTTCCGGTCCAGCTGTTTCCCCTGTGGTTTTCCTCTGTGAGCCTCTTCCTTCCTGGGAATTCCCTCCTTCTCTCCCACTCTCCCTTCTCTGTTGGATCCCTTTGCCCTTAGGGATGCCCCCCACACCCACCCACCTTGTTTTACCTCCTCATCTGGATGGAGCACACCCTCCTGTAGCTCTCTGAGAAAGGGCATGTGGGGGGAGAAGTGTTTGAGCCCTTGCATCCCTGAAAGTGCTCCGATCCTGTCTTTTCACTGTTGCTCTTACTCCTGTGTTTCTTCCGGCCAAATTCTAGAATCAAAATCAAGTGGGACAATAATTTTCACTTCACGGCAGTGTGCTACACAGAACACAATCTCCATGACTCCCCTCCCTCCTAGCGGGACGGCCCATCAACAGGATCATCTACAAACCCTCAGAAGCGTCTGCACGCAGGGTGTCAGTTGATTACAGGGGGAAAGGTACAGATTAAATTCAGCCAGGAGAAGAGACACGTGGAACAGAGTCCCCAAGGAGTCTCAAGGCGGAGCTTCTGGGTGACCACCCCATGGAGTTCTGGGCAGTGTTCAGACCTTTCAGCACCAACGAACGTGTGGCCAGAAGCTAGCCACCCAGACATCAATGTCCAGAGTTGTCCTGGCGCGCCCTGATTGGCTGGCTCCAGACTGGATCTTTTGCTTCCAGGTCTTGTGGAGGGAGGGATGCTCCCT